CAGCTTGAACTAGGATTTGATATCTCAAATGGTGTAAAATATGAAATGAAAATGATAGCTTATGGTTTGACTTTTGTGAGTTATTCAACGATGCTAATGATGAGGAGGTTGTTACTACTACTTAGAAAGCAAAGGAAACTTAAAGAAATAAACGAAAAAAGGGTATAAAATTCGAATAAGAGATGATGCCTTTGGACCTAGCAATGGTGGGGTTAAAGAGGGGCAACAACAAAGCAAAATGAGACTAATTTAAATGATCTAAGCACTGAGTCAAATGATAGTGAAGATGATAACTCTATTCCAAGTGATGATCCCAGTGACTACTCTCATAACCAGTCAAATGATGAGTCCAATGATGAAGATGATGTAACAATAACAAAAAGTTCAAAAATCTACTTTGATCCTAAAGTAATTCAAATGCCATTTGAGATAGGAATGAAGTTTAAGAATTGTGCACATTTTAAGTAAGCTTTGGCATTAGACCAGATCCAAAAATGGGTTAAACTAGGTTGGGTTAAAAATGAGCCACATAGACAAAGAGTTTATTATAAAAAAATGAAAGGTGTCAATGACAACTCTTTGCTAGCTATGAAAAGAGGGACAAATCCTTTAAGATTAAGTCATATTATGGGAAACGTAGTTGCTTCCAATTGTTAGATAGCAACATGGTGACTTCCTAAGTGCTTGCTAACCACCACAAAGCTAGGATACTTGCCAATCCCCATATTAAGACTAGTGAGTTAGTGAGGCTTACTAGTTATGATTTGAAAGTTCATGTTTCTAGAGCCAAGTGTAAGATGGCCAAGGAAAAGATAGTCAATGAGATGAAACAATTATACATGAAGCAATTCTCTCAATTAACTGCATATGAAAGACAACTTTTGAGAACATCACCTGGTTCAAGTTTTGTTATAGATTTTTTATCCAAGTATTGATGAGCAAAAAGAAGGTTCAAAGGAGTTTATGTATGTCTTGATAGCTGTAGAAAAAGTTTTCTTATGGTGTGTAGGCCTATAATAAGTGTTGATGTGCTTTTTTTTTTTTTTGAAGGTTTTATGTAAAGGAAACATTCTAGTTACTGTTGGGAAGGAATGGAACAATCAAATGTTCCCTATTGCATGGGCTATTGTCATAGAAGAGACCACTGAAGTTTGGGAATTTTTCTTTAGGTGCCTTAGTAATGATATTTCTAATCACACAAGCAGGCTTGGCAAAAATCAACATGACTCATAAAAACAGGTTAAGGTCTACATATTTCAACTCATGACTTATTGGTAACTAGTAAATTTGACCCGAATGAGTCATGGGTCATGGGCAGGTCAACCCACAAGTTGACAAGTTGGCCTGTACAATTCTTTTTCGGAAAAATATTATTTTTAAGTTTACTAAACCTATTTATTGCCAATAATAATAATAATGGCCTTATTTATTATTATTAACAAAAATTATTTCTTTATTAACCAATTAACCCTTTTTATTGCTAATTATGATGGCCAATTTCATGCCTCTACTCCACCTCACCAACTCATTGTAGAACTCTTTCATCTTCATTCTTTATTCAGTTTAGTGCTCAAAAGTCCCTAGTGTCAATGTCTACTCACTCTCCACACTAAACTTTGCATCTTCCCCTTTCAATCCTTCATATCCCTCACTTATCTCAATCACTCCACCAGCCACTTATTTTAATGCTTTCTCTCCCTTTGAACATTCATCCAACTCCCTTATTCTCTCAAGCCAGATCCTTTCTTGTTTAAGGTATGGGTCTTTCAAATTTATAATTTTTTTTTTTTTTGCATTTTGGATGTTTTTGTATTTAATTTTCAATTTTAATATTTGATTTTATTTAACTTAATTTCATTTGAAATCCTATTGTATTTTTATCTAAAAATAGATTTTATTTTATTGGATTTTATCAATTTTCTGTTGATTCCATTCCACTTCCTTATTGACTTTGATTCCATTTTGTGATTTTTTTATGTGACTTACAATATTGCCTTATCTCTCTTTCAGTTTTTTATTTTTAACTTCTTTCCTTATTTAGTTACTTACAAAAATGTCAACCCGTGAGTTGACTCATAACCCATTAAGGTCAGGTTAGGATTGGTCTTTCTCAACCCATGACCCGTTGGTCACTCAACGTGTATAAACCGTCACCCGAGCTAACCTAACATGAACTCAACTCAACCCAACCCAACCCGCCCGTTTGCTAGGTCTACATACAAGAATGGGATTAACTTTTATATCTAACCAACAAGCACTAAGTGTTATCCACTAAGATAATTTAAGTAACTTTTTATTATTATATATGATATGTTTTGAACTACACTAATTTTTTGTTATATGCCTTTTTAATTTGGCAGGGTTTGATTGTTGCTAGCCAAAAGGTCTTCGAACAAGCTTGGCATAGATTTTGTGCTAGACACATTTATTCTAATTGGCAAAAAAGGCATAAAGGAAAAGTGCTAAAAAAGAGATTTTGGATTGCAGTGGGTCGACCTCTTAAGCACAATTTAGAAAGAATATGAAGTCCATTAGAGAGCTTAGTCGAGGTGCACATGATCACTTAATGGAAATTCCACCTGAGCTATGATGTAAAGCTTTCTTCACCTTTTTTGCCAAATGTGATGCATGTGATAACAATATGTTAGAAGCATCAACTCTTAGATAATGGATGCAAGGCTTATGCCTATCATTGACTTGTTAGGACAAATTAGAGTTATGGTGATGAAAAGAATTGTTGCCAAGAATCTGGAAATGTCAAAATTGAAAGGAGACATTACACTAAGAGCTAGAAAAAAGTTTGAACAAAACAAGATAGCAGCTACAAAATGTAGAGTTGAATGGAATGGGGTTGATCATTATGATGTGTGGCACTATAATGACAAATTTGTGGTTGATATCAAACACTAAGAATGTAGTTGCAAATGATGGAACTTGATTGGTATGCCTTGTCCAAATGCCATAGTTGTAGTATGGTCCAACAACTTGAATCTTGAAGATTTCGTGTCGATTTGGTACAAAAAGGAGAAGTATAAGCTGGCTTATGGTTTTCCTATAATATGCCTATGAATGGTGAGGATTTCTAGACAGATTTTGTAGATGAACCACTAGAACCACCACCATTTAGGAGAAGACATGGTAGGCCAAAGGTAAATAGGAAGAAAGACAAAGATGAACCAAAAAAAGATAGCAAAGGACAATTAGATAAGCTGGGAAAACAAGGAATAGTGTTGATATGCAAGAACTGTAATGAGGTTGGACATAACAAGAGGGGGTGCCCTAAGAAGTCATCTATGTACTGTGAGTGTATCATACCATTTATGCATTTACTTTTGTTAGTGTAATTTGATGGCTCAGTTATGACCCCATCTAAATTAACATAGGAAACTATAGAAGAAAACAATGTGGAGCCAAGAGTTCGAAGGCCTCCTACATGTGGCTTTGCAAACAGCAAAGTCACACTAGGACTACGTGCATGGAAAGGACAGTAAATGATGACGTTGTAAGTGAGATTTTTATTTTTGTTTTTATTGCTTAGTTATTCCTCTTACTATAAATATAAGCTAAGTTATTCTTAGTACATAGCTACAAGGCCTCTGCATGTGGCTCGAGTAAGAGTGTATTAATTTTGATGATGATTTCCACTTTTGCTTTTTTTTTTTTTTTTAATGTACAGGAGGCAAGGTCTTCTAGTAAGAGTGAAGACAAGTGAAAAATCCAATGACACCAGAAATGCAAGAGCAGGGACAATGCAAGAAGAAACAATGCATTTGATTAATGTTTTTATGTTATTTTGATCAAGTTGGTTATTTGCTTAAAGCCATGTATGTTGCCTTTAGTGATTAGTGCTGAGTTTTTGTCATTTTGATGTTGTTGGTTTAATGTGAAAGCCATGTATGATGCAGCTGATTTTTGTGTGGAGTTTTAGTTGATATTTAGTTGTCTATTAAGGTTATACAATCCTATCAAAATGTGTATGAACTTTTATAGTTATTTGGTAT